TTAGATAATACTTAACAACCAAATATCACTACAGGAAACAATTTGATGTACAATTTAGTTTGTAGATAAAATGTATTTTAGCCAACAAGACAGATTTTTGTGTGATGTCTTCATTAGAAGGCTGTTTTCCAGGATGTTCCTTCCTTCAGACTGGGCTGTATTAGCACAGGAAAGAAAAAGGAAAAGTCTACTTTGCAATCTCAGCTAGAAACATTTTAACCCAACTAGAGCTTATTTTTATCACACTTCAATTTCCATAGCTTTTTATTCAAGCCTTATCTTTTCTTTAAATAGAAGCTTTCATCTCAGAGGATCCCAACTACTCCTTGCAGGAGTATTTGGCAGCTTTTCACTTTTGTTTCTTCACAGAAATTGAAGAAAAACTTGTTTACAGTGTTCTGGGAAGCTGTGGTGCAACCATTACATTACCAGCTGTGCAGCCACCACTCACAGCACTGCAATTGCTTGGGTGACTTTGAAAATCCCTGAAGTCGTCTTCTGTGTTAAAACCACGTTTTCAGACTTCCAAACAATGTCTCTGCATTTTGCATCTCCCTTTGGCTTCACTTGCATACCTCTGGTAGACCATGCTGGTTTCATGAGGGAGGTTTCTTGTGTAGGTATGAACCTTACCTGAGGCTTCCATACATAAAAATGTTCTACTTCACTTGTAGCTCGTAGGTGTTGATGTTGTGTTAGACTGTGCAAGAACTGCTGACTGAATGTTTCTCAACAGTCTAGGAAAGCCTGAGATGAGAAGAATCACATTAAGCAGGAGCTGAAATGGGGCAGAGCTGAGCTTTTTTTAAATAGTTCAAGTATTCAGTCACTCAAGCAGCAAGCCCTAGGTTTGGGATGGCCAGGGTTAAGGAGGTGGCCTATCAAATTTCATAGATTTTTCAAAAATCTCTTTGAGTTTGTAGTGGGAGAGGGGTCAGGGGCAACCCTGTGAGTTTAGATGTTCTCTCAGACAATGTGGAAGATGTGATAATGTGCTCCAAAATTTCTCCCATGCCAGTGCTGGGTACCTTACTCCAGTTCTGCCTGCAGAAGGAAATTACTTCCAGCAGCCTTTCCCCAGTCACTCATTTATCTGCTGTAGGGGGTAAGAAGGCAGCCTTGGAGAAGCAGCTAAAATTCTTAGATCTTCTTTCTCCCTCCTTCTTTCTTTCTGTCAGTGATCCCTGACATTTTGAAACCAGAGCTGATAAATAAGTGTGAGTTGTCTTGCAGGTTGGCTGTTTGTACAAAACATTCTATTTTTTGTGTAGCTAGGTTGCTGGTTATATAAAATGAAGTTATTTCAAGGTATTAGCTATAGAAATATCCCACTCTCCATATTTTCCCTCCCAGAAAACTACGCAGCTCCAGTAAGAAGGGAATAATTGAATATCAGGACTTGGTGGGGTAGAACAGAAATAGTTTGCTTGTAGCTATAGGTGTGGAGGACCTCGGTCTGTGGCACGCCAATCAATGCCATGTTTCATAGGATGAGGTAAGAGGCCACAAAAATCTTTCTTGTTTCCTTGCACTACGAGGCATGAAATCTGATTAGTCCTGTCCTCTTATAATTGTGATTTACGGTCCTAAAGCTGGAGGTGCATTCCCAAAAGACCACCTGCACTCATGTGATACAGGGAGTGAGAGTGTGCTGGAAAGGGTTTCCCCAACCCTTCAGAAACATAAAGAATTGAAATCCAGTGTCCTTGGACAGCAACTTCTGATTAAATTCTAGGTGCCCAACTAAATCATCCTCCTCGAGTGCATATGTGTCCCATAGACAAAAACCAAGGTCCTGCCATTGGCCATGGCAGTAAATACCAGCATTATAGAAGAACAGCTTTTCTGAACATCTGAATTATAAATGCAAAGTGATTGAGTTAAACAGACCAAATCCTATGACATCGGCTTAGCTCCCCTCTGGCGTGGCAGTCTGGTCATGAAGGAAAGGACTCCATAGTTCACACATAATCAAATATATAGGATCCCATATTCCACACATAATAAAATATATGTGCACGCATATTAAATATACAAATGTGTGTGAGTGGCCAGGTTTGGTAGCTGAAAAAAATAACCCTTGAATGTGAATACACATGGCAATGTCTGGAAGGATGGTTGAATTAGCAAATGTTTAATTGGGACACTTAATGGCAACTTTTTAAAGTCTGGGGTTTCAAATAATTTAGAAATAACATTTTCTACTGAATTTTTGCCATGTTATTGAGGTAAATTGGGAATTTACTGGGGGAATGGCCACTGTCCATTGGTGGGAAATGGCCTGCTGAATGGAGATAACAAGGGGACTTAACCTTGTAGCCTCTGGCTGGCAAACCCTAATTAAAATGCAGCCCCATCCTCTCTGTGGAATGCTGCTTCCAAATGCTCATATTCAAGCTGCATAACCTCATTCATCAGGTATTCCCCTTGCCCAAAGAACAAGTTTCTTTCAAATTGGTACAGAGATTTGCTACAAAGGTCTTTTTGCTCCAGGACAAAGGCAGCGAGACCCATGCAAATGGTTTTGGGCTGATGAGTGAGGAGGAAGGCTTTGCAGTGGTGTTGGGTGTTGGAAGTACCCAACAGCTGAGCCCTGTGGTTAAAAAGAGAGAAAGCTTAAGGGAGGGAAGGGGGAGTCTGCTTTATCTTGAGAGGAATGTAGCCGTATTTCTCTGCTGATTCACATTTCTTTTGAGACCTGCTAATTGCAACATCTCTCAGTAAGTTACTTACAACAGAACTGCTGGGGAGAAATTGTGATAAATGCATAAACTGTGTCTTACTGATTTTTGTTGACATTTTACATGCTTCTCATGCATTTGAAACCTCCATTCAGTAATTGTCACTATAGTACACACTCCTGGATAGTGAGAGCCAAAGAAGCGAATGAAGCAGTTTCTTGACCATTATCAACAATATTATTCAAGGCTCTGTATGGGGTTCCTTGCCTGCCCTCCAGTATATCTCTACTTTTGCTGATCCCCCACTGAATTTGCAAGACAAGAAAAGAATAATGCTAATAACAGAAATGGTAATGAGAGAGATTACTTTGAGATTGATGGTAAATTTGGGCCTCTAATTTTAGTGCAGCAATATGGAATCTAGGAGAAGTACTGTAGATTATTTACAGTTCTACTGCACATTTTGTCTAGATTGCTGTACAGAAAGCTGGTTTGTTATATCATATTCTTTGACAGAAATTTGTTGCTGAACAAGACTAGTACAGCATTATGTAGTGTGTCTAAACAGTAGTCAGACATCATCAGCTGTTTTGTTACCTAAGAAATACAGAGTCACAACACTGTGGTGAAGTTTGGGTAAAAGAATTCTGATTTCTGATTTTATGATGCTCATCTATCAGCCAGAGTTGCATAAGCCAGCCTAGGTTCTCGTGAGTCAAGGGCCTTTACATTAAAGAGAAAAAAAATACCGCATGATGCAAAAATGCATTGACTTTATTTTCATGATTAGATGTAGTGCTTTTGGGTAATGATCAGGCATTGCTTTCTCTTACTGTTGTTTGATTAAAATGTGAATACAGTCTTGACTTGATAATCTTACCAGGTGCACACAGAGCTCAAAAGAAAAGGTATTCTGTGCCTCAAATTGATTTGCATAAACCAAACAATCTGTTGCTTGCTGGATTGCAAAATGGTTTATTTTGCCCATTGGCCACAGGGGCAACAATATTGTATTTTTGATGCCAGAATGTAGCTTTCATGCATTAGCTCTAAAATGACAATATGCTTTAGCCTCTCAGTGCTTAGATCTGCTTCATTTGGAAATCTTTTAAGTAGTAATAATAATAATGTTTTCAGGAAATTGAGTGGAACACTAAATTATTCTCTGAAACCTAAGTTCAAACTGTGCAAGGCTAAGGGAGCTGAAAATCAATGCACTTTTAAAGTCATTAGAGATCACAAGTGAAATAAGTCTGTGTTGCTTTAGCTAAGCTTTTAGTGTGCCATGGTATTATTACAAAATCAGCCTGAATCTGCATTAATTTCACAGTCTTTTTCTTTAAGATGCCCAAGGGTGCATGAAGAATAAAATGTAAATCTCAGGAGGCAATGTTTTTATTAGCCAAAAGGGCAGTGAGTCATGCACTGAAAACGTTGACCTGCACCATGACCAGTGTAGGTATGGCTGACAATAGTAAAAGGGTAGAAAAATAGCCTAGGCATTAGCCTACTGGCTTTTCATTATGATTTTAAAGACTGAAGAAGGGAAAAAAAGAGTGATTTTTTTTCAGATATTCATGCACATAGATTCAGAATTGTTCAAGCTGACAGTACCTTTCACAGATCAAAGAATTATACTTGTACCTAGAACTCAGAGAAACAAATACCATAAGGATTTTTATTTTTAAAATGTTATTTTCTTAATTGTTGAGATTCCACATACATTACTGAATTTTGTCTGAGTCTTTTCACAAATAGTCACAGGATACACATTAGAGTTTTTCTCATTCTTATTTGTATGATCCTCTTGGTGCATCACAGTAATTTGTGATATTATGGACCCCTTTATTAAATTCTCAGTTTAGCTGTCAGTGATGCCGACATTTATTCACTATCAACAGTTTACCTACACAAAAGCCAGAGCAAGCAATTGTTAATGCATGGTCTGAATGGATTTAACTATGCAATGCAAAGGCTACAGAAAAGCCTTATTTATTTCAAACCCTGTGGCTAAAGCACAAAATCAGTAACAAAACAGAAAAAAAAAATAAAGAAAAACAAAGCAAAACAAACAAAAAAATTAAATAAAAACCCTTCTTGTCACCCATCCCCACTTAATTTTTTTTCTTTCATCTATGGTCAGATTAGCAAGTCAGCACTGTCAATAAATAAACTAGAGAAGTTGTTTATTTTTATGTACTACTGAGAACAGTGTCGTCTTGTGGCCGTTCTCGTAGACTGTGTTGGTTTAACAAGCGTCCAACCCTTTTGTCTTGTTGTTTTTTGTCTTTCCTGCTCCCTGTCCCCTTGTTCCCACAGGCTGTGCGTTTGTCACATTTTCTACAAGGGCAATGGCACAGAATGCAATCAAAGCCATGCACCAGTCTCAGACCATGGAGGTACAGTACTGTATCATTTGCCCTTTCTTTGTTTTCTTTGTGCAAATGATTGCGAATGGTAAAGCCATGCTCTCCTGGATCAGATCAGACACATGACAATCACAGATTTAAATTTTTTACCAGCTCGCTCTACCCGTCTTTGTGAAGCTTTATTTTTCTCAATCACCTGAAAGAGCACAATAAGGCTGCTGTGTGGTATCCAAACACGGCTCTCAATCCTGTTTTCAGTGGCATTCAGCAGAAAATAAAAAAGCTGTGAATACCACTCCTCAGTTGTATTCAGAATATCTCTGATGAGTAAATTACCTCTATTTTTAACACACATTCCCCCCAAAGAAAAATCTTTGTTTCTTTTAAATAGATTTCTAAGTGTTGTGGTTTGCACTGCTCTGAGAAAGAGCTCAAGAGATTTAACATGGCCACGCTGAGTTACTAGTACGTGTGTTTTTCTGCACATAGAATCTCTTTTTAAGTTAACATTATTTTGCCTTCTTCATGTAGCTAATAAAACTGCTAATGATGACAGAGCATATCAGAGTTTGGCACTTCCTGCAGAGCACCATCGTGGCTGGCCCCTCACAAGCAACACCCGTCATTCCCTTCCAAACTGCCTCTATGGCCTTCTATTTTATCGTGACGAGCAACTTGAAACTTTGAACTGGTTCACTTAATGTGACTTTAGCTGTTGGCTAATGATCTGGTCATTGGAGTGGTTATTGAATGCCACAGCTTGTCTGGCAATCTCAAAACTTTTTTCAGTCTGTGATTTTTGTCATGGTCTTTCAGAATTTTGCACAAAAAACCGCACAAGTATGAAATCTTTACTTACTCTGGATCTTCTAGCTTATCATTGGAGAGTGCATGTTATACTGTATTATGTATACTGTATCTTCGTGTAGTGATGATTTTTCTCAGAGGTGGCATTGATGTTATGTGCACTTGTTTCTTTTTTTTTTTTTTTTATTTCTTTTTCCACCAGGACCTTTCAATTTTTATTTCTTTTTTTTCTCTCAGTGATTTTCCTTTGCAATGCTCTAGTCTCCCAAAGCATGCTGGGTGCTAAACAATCATTATTGCGTCATGTCGTTGAGCTGCTTTGTGTAACGAGCCAAGGGGGGAGACCAGGGGTGGGAGGGTGGACAGAGGACAAGGAGGAGGAGAAGATAAAAATTCAAGCCAGTGCATGAAAATGTCACTAACTGTTTCCTGTATAGTATACAAGTAATGATATCAGCATTGCAAAGCTATTGTCTTTCCAAACATCACGTTTGAATTTGGTTGAGCTTCTTTTATAATCAATGTGTTTTCTTTTCAGTGCAATGCATTTTTAGACCCTGGGTATACAGTTTTAGTTGAGAATCTGCCAATGAGATGAGAAAAATGAAATTATCTTTACTAGAAAGCTGCTGTTATACAGTCTATGCAGTCTGACAGTATATTGTGAAAAAACTGCCACTTTGAGTCTCTGGAATAATACCTGTAGTAATTTGTCTGCCGTGCACTGCTCCATTAATTCAGATCTATATGTTTCACTGGGTTTGATTCCAAGTAAAAAGGAAATGTTTATTGGTAATACTGTGTTTTACCTATATTTTCCACGTGTTTTAATGTATTTTTCCATCTAGCAAAATTAATTTTACACAGCTCAACTTCTGAAGACTGTAAAATAAAGGCATAACACCTCCTAGTCAAACTCTCCCACTATGTTATGTGCACCACTCCAAAAGGGGCTGCATTTTGATGGGATACTCCTAATGAGATTCATTCTGTAGAATAGTTACTCTTGGATCAAAATCCTTCTCAACACCTTTAGAGACTTCATCAATGAGATCCCCAAATTGGCAAGGCAATTCCAAATATTTTGCCTTTTGAATATGTGGGTCTTTGCGTCAGTTGAGCTTAGGCTGAGTCCCTCCTTGGAAAGAAGCCAAGCACCCTCCCTCTCTGTGGAGGAGGGACTCAACCTGACAACAGAAAAATACGAAGGCAACATCAGCTGTTGAGAAGAAAATGAATGGCGTGGAAATATGAAGCCATTGAATGAGGAAGGGAGATGCACCTCGTGTGTGTGCTGGAAGCTTCCCCTCAAGCTAGAAAATAGAAGTGCATAAAACAGGAATCACCCTGTAGGCAAATAAAAAAACTTGCTCATTTTTGCCAATACTCTTCTAGTGAAAAGTTAAATTGGGTTGACTAGTGTTACATGTCAAACCTCAGCTTGAAACAGTCATCCTTGGACACTTCGGTTGAATATTCTTTTACAAACAAAAGTGAGCTTAGAGGAAGATGTGTAGTACACAATTGCATTTCAACCAATTACTACAGGTCTTTTTTCCCCTTTTTTATTATTTTCAGATTTTTTAGTATGCATCATTGACCCAGATGAATTTTCAAAGAGGGCTAAAAAAGAACAATGGGGTTATTAAGTCCAGATGAACACATCTCACAGAATAATGCATTCTCTTACTGCTCTTTCCACCTGACTTATCAAACTGGTTAAATCAACTGATTTTTTTAAATATAATTGCTGCTCTAAAATGTTTGCTCTTCTATTTCTTTTCTATGTAGTTTTTTGTTTGTTTGTTTAAGTCATTCAAATGCAGCACCAGTAGAAGACATTAATTTGTTATCATGGAGTAAATTTGATACAACAATAACAACCCTTTTCTCATATAGAGCCACTTGCTAGATATAATCTCAGTCTTCAGAATCTTTGCTCTCTTGAAAATGATGAAGTGATGAAATATAGAGCAGACAGTGAAAAAATGAATTATAGATTCATAAATTGCAGAGATATTGTTTTTATACAATTTACTGACATTTAAGCATTCATAAATATGTCAGCTGTAGTGTCGAACTGCCGAACTGAAAACTAAAATAACGATAAAATATTTCTTCCTTTGGTACTAATTTCTATTTCTTTGGAAATAGACTTGATTCTCCTGTACATCCAGGCAGAAGGCAGTAAGTACCAGTTGTACTTAGCCCAGTGTTACCAAACCTTGTATAAGATGGAAATAGCTTGCTTTTTTTTATTAGCAAAACCAGAAAAATCTCTCTCACATCCTCTACCCCCTGGCTCCTTTTTCTTTCTTCTTTTTTTTCTAAATGATCTTATTTTTAATATTAGTATAAAAATCACTAGAGAGAGGTAATTGTGTAACAATCTGACTCCTTCATAATCTTTATTTGATTGCTGGAGTGTTATGTATCTCCTTTCTTCCTCACTGAAACATTGAAAGACATTTTTACAATGAAACACACAGGAAAAGAATTGGAGGTGGAACAATAAACCACAAGCGATGGTTTTCTAAGATAATTCTAAAGGAACAGTGTTGATGGGGGATCTTTATATGAGAGGTATTATTATTAGTATTATTGCAGTTTATTTCATCATTTCATCTGATGATTGGGAATATTTTTATCACTTGTCCTGGTGTGAGGTTTTTCAGAGAAAAGGTACATGGCTGCTTTTTGTAAGTAATTGAGGACAGGAACTTTTCTGAAGATGTTCACAGTGTTGTGAGAGCAGCCATGGGAAGAGTAGGTGAAGTATAACCCTGCTCTGCATCCCACGCTATACACTTTGGCTAAAGCACTGCTGTGTTTCTTGGACTTGAGTCACTTATCACTCCTGCCATTGTGTTCACATTGAAGTTAGACAAGAAATTAGTATAACAAAGCATGGCAAGGGAAGTTATTCATTGGATGCTATGAAGTTGAAAAGCAGTATGAAATGATTGACAGTTTCAATGACTCATAAAATGCTTGAATTAATTTGAAGAACTGAATCATTGCAGTATTTAGTTTGCTTTCTTGATCTGAAAAAAATTAAGACTTGAAAGGTTAAAATATGAAACATTTCTTAGTAGGGGAAAAAAGAGAGAAATCAACAGAGACATCTTTCATAATCACATCTCATTGTCTCAGTGACTACCCAGGAATGCCCAATTTGAAGTCCAAGGGAAATTCCAGTTTACCTCAAAAGTCCATTTGGTCTGTGACCTCTAACATCTTCCCAAGTGTCCCTCAGCCATGGGTGAGGAATAGGCTGCAGACCAGACCTCTAGCTCTTTCTTACAGCTTCCCTATTTCCTAAGACATCTTAGAACCTTGCCATACCATGTAACAAGAGGCTGATAGAAGCAATAGAAGAAATGGTGGCAATCAGGAATGGGCTGCTATCACCAGAACTAGCCCCTTTTGGTCTGCATCCTGCCCTTTGTTCACATCTCAAGGGTGCTTGATACAAAGCGTGCCTGGGAGCGGACCGCAGGTGGGTGAAATGACTGGGGGTCCTTGGTGTGAACAGGGCCAGTGCCTCACTGATGGCAGAAACTGAGGTAAATCTGCTGCTCCCAGACTCTTTAGGGTGCCCACGCCAGCTACACTGAGTGTGATGGCACAGCCAGACCGCAGGGCGGTGTTGGCTCTGTGGTCCCTGGCAGCACAGAGGTTGGACAGTTCTCCCTTTGGCGCTGCCTCGAAAACAGACTGCAGACAAAGCATCACGTCTATCTCATCAGCTGTGAAGCTTAATTAAAGAGGACTGGTACACTTTGCTGTCTCTGGCAGCGATTTTGATAGCTGGAAAGAAAAGAGAGCCTGAGGAAAGGTGCTTTATAAAAAGAGCTGGGGAATCAATAATTTCTCCATAGCCTCTTTTCCGAAGAACCTGAAAATTGTAGTCCTTGCAGTCCTACACGTGCCAGTCACAAAGAGAGGGTGAATGATCTGGTTGTGCCAGTGCCAGTGGCCCTACAGGACGTGGCTGAGCTCACGGGGTGAGGGTGACCCGGTGTGATTTAACCCCTCTGTCTTTCCTGATCTGTCCAACCACAGGGCTGCTCTTCGCCAATCGTGGTGAAGTTTGCTGACACCCAAAAGGACAAGGAGCAGCGGCGTTTGCAGCAGCAGTTGGCTCAGCAGATGCAACAGCTCAATACTGCCACTTGGGGAAACCTCACAGGTCTTGGAGGACTCACACCACAATATCTAGCTGTAAGTTTATTTCAGAGGCGGTGGCTGTATTGTACTCTATTTATTTTAGGACCATGGTAAATCAGTTCCACTAAACTCCCTGCAGTAAATTGCTACATTGTCTGGGATACACAATGTGTCTTCTTCTGGGTGCATTATCTGCAAAACAAATCATAGATTCATAGAAAGTCTTGGGTTGGAAGGAGCCTTAAAGAACATTTAGTTCCAACCCCTCCACTGTAAATAAAATTTGATTCCATTAGTATTATTGGGGGTTTTGAATGTTAGAGTCTGGTTTTTATAGCTGGAATAAAATTTAACTTGTTCTTTAGGGGAGGACAGATAGGCAGCTGAACACTGTAGGGGCCATATCCATATGGTGAGGCTCCTGAACAAGAAAGTTGTGGTTCAGTCATCACATTTCCACATTTTCATTTGGAAATGGCTTTTGCTTTAATGCATGGTCCTGTCAGTGTTAAACATGCATGGTTCATATCCCCTCTCATGCAGAGAGTGAATGTGGCCAGGAAAAGGCATAAATTTAAAATGGTCTTTTCCTTGGTCCATTTGTAAGATGAGAAACAGGTGGTAACGGCTGTCCCTGCTGGAAAATCTGAAATCCACAGCCATGTATCTTCAGTTCTGGATGGCCAAGAGAGGCTCCCCTTCATCACAGCTGAGAGGGAGCCTCTGCCTTTTGTGGCTCTGGAGTCGAGAGGTCTGGTTGAGGAACTTTTGGATAACTTGGGGGTTCCTCATGGTTCCAAGACAAATATAACTTCACAAAGTACAAAGCCAAGTACAAGGTCCTGGCCCTGGATCAGGACAATCCCAAGCACAAGAGCATGGATTAAGAGCAGCCCTGAGAACTTGGAAGTGTTGGGGATGAGAAGCTTAACATGGCCTGTCAATGCGCACTTCCAGCCCAGAAAGCCAAATGTGTCCTGGGCTGCATCCCCAGCACTGTGGGCAGCAGATCAAGGGGAGGGGGTTCTGTCCCTCTGCTCTGCTCTTGTGAGACCCCAACTGAGGTGCTTCATCCAGCTCTGGAGCCCCCAGTACAGGAGAGACATGGACCTGTTAGAGCAAATCCAGAGGAGGCCACAAAGGTGATCAGAGGGCTGAAGCACTTCTGCTATGGAGAGAGGGCTGAAAGAGCTGGGGCTGTTCTGCCTGGAGAAGCCTCTGGGACCTTAGAGTTTTCCATACCTGAAGGAGGCCTCTAACAAAGCTAGAGAAGGCCTTTTTACAGGGGCATTTAGTGATGGGACAAGGGGTAATGATTTTAAACTGAGAGAGGGCAGGTTTAGATGAGATACTCAGAAGAAATTGTTTTCTGTGAGAGCGGTGAGAGAGTGGCATAAGTTATCCAGCACAGCCCTGGAAGTTTTCAAGGCCAAGGATGTGGCTTTGAGCAACCTGTTCTAGTGGAAGGTGTTCCTACCTGGGACAGGGGGGTTGGAAGTGGAGGATCTTTAAGGTCCCTTCCAAACCAAACCATTCTGTGATTCTATGAAATGGATGTGCCTATATATATGTATTGTGTATGTATAAATACATCATTTGCATGCATAAAATGCTTTGGTATAGTGATACAAACAGCAATTTACCCAGCAATTAAAAATAGATATTAGTATAGAGGTTGGCTAATTAATACTAAGATAGGCTAAATTGCTATATATACAAATACCAGTCTAATGAATATCTGTGTGCTTGATTCATAAAGATAATAAAGAAGAAACTGAATTCACACGGGTGGAGAAGAATGGACCATGATTGACAGAGATGAGTTATGGTAGCTACTAGACTACAGAGGGTTGTAATTAGTCACACTATGTTGGTTTAAATAGATTTAACACCTGGTTGTTAAAAAGAATAAATTGATTAATTGTTTTAAAGCAGCCATGTTATTGAGTTTCCCTTGTGTCTCTGTGTTTCTTAATAGAGATTAGACATTAATATGGATTTACAGCATTGACTCTAGGGATGTTCATTCCAACAGCAGACAGAAGCAAGAGACTATATAAATGTAAAGGAAAGCAGAAATATTCCAAATGTGAAATGATAGCTCATTTCACTTTTATCTTCATTTGTTACATTACTGTCAGATAGATTGCTGTGTTGTGTTGTTCATTTCCAGCTCCTGCAGCAAGCAACTTCCTCCAGTAACTTGGGTGCCTTCAGCGGCATTCAGCAAATGGCTGGTGAGTTAAAAACCCTTTCATTTTGCTCCTGCTATGTTTTGTATTCTTAAGCTATTGAATTCTGTACCTCTAATAATCACATTGTCAGGGGGTGGGGGGCATGTTGTGTATTAAATGTGGCAGATGTATTGGCAGGGGACAGCTCATGGTTCAGCATCAATAGAAACACTTTCACCCCTCTTTCAGAACTGAAATTAAACCCAGTGCTCCCAGGTTGTGCAAACAGTTTGTCTTGCATTAGTCACCTGCCATTTGGCCAAAGTAACCAATTGTAAATTGCAGGAGGGCTCTTAGTCCCTGCAGCCGTATCCTGCCCTATGAAAAGTGTCAGGAAAGCAGCAGCAGGATTACATTCTAATTTCCAGTGAGATTTCTGTGTCCTGAAAAATCAAATTAATGGCAGCCCTCAAACATTTTAATAATATGTGGTGAGGAAAAATGTTCTGACCTTTTTAATGAAACCCAAGATTACAGGCCTACCTTCAGTATGAATTTTCAGGCTCCTTTCATAATCACAGAAAATTAACTGGGTGCCTTTTTGACTTTGGAACCCTAGTTGGCAAAATTACACAACAGAGATTTTATGTAAAAGTATAATCTTCAGTCTGGAGGAAAAAAAGAAAGAAAGAAAAGGGGAAAAAAGAATCAAAGTGTGAGCGGATTTGAAAGCCAGCTAGTTGGAGGGTTTCTTAGTAATGAGCTGTGTGCCAGTAGTAACTGATGTGTAGTGATTAGCAAAAGGTCATTCCCACTGTGTGACCTACCATGCTGATATCCTAACTTAACATGATGCTAGAGAAGGCAGCATGTGCAGTAAATCAGAGCACAGATGCACATTATGCCTGCCGTGAGGAACTGTTAAAAAGCTTTTTTTTTTCTCTCTCTTGTTACAGGGAAAAAAAAAAGAAAGAATCACAAAACCCCTAAATTGCTACATTAGTTTATTTTAATCATGAGCCCACTGAATCAATGAAATACAACATTACACTTGCTTCATCATCACAAAACAAGGGCTAAAATATTCAGAAGTCTTTATGAGCACTATTTCTCATTCTTTTTTTAATCCTGGTACTTTGCTGCTTCTGGTTCTGCTTTGAATGAAGCCTGAAATACCTGAACAAGTATTACATATACCACACTGTATAGCTCACTGTATAGCTCACTGTATAGCTATACCCCACAGGTATTCTTTGCTCAATCGTTATAATATGCCATTATTGCAGTGACATCAGAGAATAATGTGAACCTGCTGTCTGACAATATAAATTGGCCTGCAGATGACAATATCTCTGAATTATTCTCTCTTCCTCAGACCTCCTGGCAGTGCTTGCTGGTTCTATTATGTTACACTTGCAATCTAGCATTTTTTCCATCAAAACAATGTATCTTAATATGATAAACAGAACAGAGTGGTTCAGCAACAGTTTCATACTTGGCAGTTTGGAAGTGGTTTTGAGCTCAAAGATTGTGTTTTGATGTGTTCATATTTGGTTAGGTCTACAAAATGAAAGAATTGGGACACTGAGGGAAAATGATGTGATATCCATTGTATTATGTGCACCTTTGAAGTTTTTGTTGCCTATTTCTCACTGTTAGTATAGATTCACCCTTGTTTTCAAGAACTGTGTTGAAACTAAGGATTTTAGTGAAGTATTTCCAGGATGAGATTTCAATCCAGGATGTGATTTATTCTCTGAAATATCATCTTGAGACTAAGAGAAAGTCATCTTAAGAAATCATAGTGGCACATCATTGTTACTCGAGGGATATACTTTTTTCAACTGCAAATTAGATTGCTAATGCACTCATCTATGGGATAATTTGATGACTGACTGCATCTCTTGGAAAAAAAATGTATTTTATATCTTATATTCATGTTATCAAAACAGCTTGAAGTTTACTCCTTTCCCCAAAACATGTGACTCTTAAATCTTTATGTTCAAGGTAAAAATAGTGATACTAAATTGTTCTCCAAGATGCATTTCTACGTGAAAGTGCCAAAGAGTAAGCACTATTTCATTGTTAGAACTGAGAGTTCATGTCCTCTCCTTGGAAATCAGGCAGTACTATGTCATGCAGTGCATCTGGAATTAACAATTTGTATATTACATTTTGTGAAAGGAATAGAAAGTACTTCTGTGTCTGCAGCAAGAGCTTGCATTACCAGCTGAAGCTATCTTTGAATATTTGTGAAGGCCTAGAGTTTTTTAACTTAAGCTGTAAAGGTTCATTTCACAAAAAAAGAATCTAATATGTAATTTCATATTGCATATAGTATGCCTATTAATATAACATTTCAAAGTGAGGAATAAAATCCAGACACAATTGAGTGAGGTGCTAAAGAAGATCTATCACTGCAGCTTTCAAGTTCTTTGAACTTTGTGTTTGAGGGGTGCAACTTTTATCCTTGAAGTCGATGGGTGTGCTTACCATGTAATTCAGACACTAAAACTTTGATCAAAAGCCACATGAGCCATTGAAATTCCACCCTTACTTCCATGTCAGGGCTCTAGAATCTCTTTTGTGCTTAAATCTTGATGAAGTCACGGTTTGCTACATTAGGACTTCTGATATAGCTACCCCCTTGTACAAAATTAGAGCCCTTTTGGATCTGCAAGTGTTTATTTGTACTGCTTAAGCTTGTGTTGTCTTTGTACAGAACAGAAGGGGCACAGCACACAGCCCGCTGCACATGTGAAGAGTTTTTAGCTATGCTTAGTGATATTATTTCTTAAATCAAAGCAATTTTCTTTGCTAGCAGAGCAAAGACACTGCTCTTCAGTATGCAGTTCTAAATTCCCTTTCCCTAATACCATGCCTCAAACTGGTTAAAGTAATTCTTACATTGCAAAAGGAGTGGTTCTTTGATTTTGGTGAAGGGAGTGGGATTTTTAGGTGTTTGTGATTGAAGAGTGTCAGTTTGCTTGTTTGTTTGTAATACAGTCCAAAGAAAAATGGGGATTTTTCTCAAGAACTTTCTAATATGCAGACATTAAACACTCAACAGCAGGTCTAAAAGTGAACACTGTTCTTGCTGTAGCAGCCAACTAACCCTGCTATATATTCATCATTGTGTAAAGTCCAAGCAAATCATGAAACTGGTTTAATGAAAATTTGAGATCCTGAAATTTGAGAGACAAAAAGCTGTAGTTTGCCATTGAGCTTTCCGAGCTTTAAGGTTCCATGCTTAATTCTTCAGTTTAGTTTCATCTCATTTCTACTGAAAAACAAGATTTCATGAAATCATTCTACTTCATGAGTCAAGCCAAAGAAAACAATGTAATATGTTGAGACTGGTAATTAAGTTGGGAGAGCTGGCAGTGGTGCCTTTGGTATTACAGTAATCCCCTGGTCTTGATTAGAGGCACTAATTCTACCTTGCCAAAGTTTGCTTCATTGTCCTGTATAAAACATGCAAGGACATGCATTCTTATGCCTATATTTCATAGTGAGCACTTTCTCACTTTTCCTCCCCTTCTCTGATATCTTCTAATGCTAATTTAAAGGCACTGTTTCCTCTCACATGCCTCTTCAGCCTCAGTGTCTAGCCTGTACTTTGTCTTTGGGGAAGGATAATAATGTAGATGAATTACATTATGTGATTTGATTGTCTTCCTTTAAAAGACAATGTAAGCTACATTAAACACTAGCAACCTTTCAAGCAAACAAAAATACCTCCTTCAAATACATACAAATTGCATGGGCAGCTTAGCTCAAAGGAGATTGATGTTGCTTGAATGTTTGAATTGAATTTGGCTGGCACTGGAACAGGTCCTAAAAGCTGCAGTTATTTAAGGCAACCTGCATGTTTAAGAGCTGGGGAATTACTATACAGACAGTGTGAAAGGAGGTTTACTATTGTTAGGATGATTGTAGAAAATATTTCAATATTTTCAATATTTAAACAATATACAGTCTAGGAAGATTTTCTATAGTCCATTAATGTCAAATGTTTTGGCAGGAACAAATGTTGGTTCATAATATTTCTGTATGTGTGACCATTCACAACATGGGAAAAAGTACAGTACTCATAAAAGACATAAAGGGCTTCTCTTAATTTCATTGAATAGACAGTGTATTTTGCTTTCTGAAGTTATACAGGAGGAGAAGCCATGGGTTTTTCTTTGTCTTTCAGATCCCTAAGCCCTCTGCAGCTGGGACTTTTTATATTTTTCCAATGTATATATTTTTTCCAGTCCTCTCCAAGTTCTTTCACAGTTTGGTTGCATTTTGGGTTGAACTTCTGGCCCTTTCTGAGCCCTGCTCTATCCATTCCACCCTTCTTCCACTACTCAAGCCAGATTTCCTCCTGTTGCAGAGTCTGTAGGAGCAGATGGGTGAGAGAAAGTCTGCAAGGTTCTGCTTTCTGAATATTTTCCTCTAATTGTTGGATTGGCTCAGTGGATCTGGAGGGACCAGTTGGAAGCCAGGACCATCTGCACAAAAGCTCTATACTTTTGCATTGGCCAGAGGATCCTTTATATCCTCTGGCTCTTGGATGGCTTCGTTCCAGCAAAGCCATAAGAAGGAGGATTTCTCCTGCTATGACCTCTTTAGGGATATCATATTAAAAGTAAAGGTCACCGAGAAACTGTTTGCAGCTCAAGGGAGATAGCTGTTTCTTAAAGATAACTACCAGTTTTGAAAATGTTGACCTCAGGGACCAAAAACATTTCGCTTTTTTAACAATAATTCCATTGAAAGTCCTAGTTATTTTAACACATTAAATTAGTTTGGGTTTTTTGCTTTTTTTTTTTTTTTCCTTCTTTTAACTAATAAATTAGATGACTCTGTTTAGCATTTTTGGAGAGACAGAATTTGCAGCGAGTGAGTCTGTTCATGTGTGTTCATAATCCACACATTGCTCCATCTCAGAAGAGGAGGTACCTTGAGAGGAAAAAGCAGTGCTCAACAGTTAGATGTGCTTATTCAGGTGGTTAGAGTGCACAACGTGCAATTTTGGCCAAGTCTGGGCAAAAGATCTTTAGTTCTGTGTGGGC